TAAACAACTCAAGAATTTCCTAAAAAGGAAATTTTCAAGCGCCTAGGGGGGAGTGGGAAAGAGTTTTTTTTTTTTTTTACTTTTCTATTCTTATTAAATTAATTAATAACTTTTAAGCTATATGAAATATATATACTTGTACAATGAACCTATATTGTTAGAGAGGTAAGCAAGAAACTTTCATTGTCATCATTAGCTCATATTGCGAGGGTAACTAGAATCCCTAATCATCATATATTATTTTACTAAGTTTCCCAATTACCAGCATAACACCTGCAACTAATCTAACTTATTGCTAGTTGTATTAATATTGGTTATCATTTTGCTTTGGATACTATAGGATATAACTTCTTGGGTACTTTCAGATAATAATAGTTGTACAAAAACTTCTTGGGTATATCTAGTATAATCACCAATCAGTAAATAATATCAGATTTGATAATAATGACTATGTCAATCTTTTGAAGAGATAAACTGTCCATCCTAAAAAAGATAAATTAATTTTAGTTTTTTAAAATAGTTATATATATTATATATTAAGAAATTTTAATTTTGTTTAGTTAATAAAAATTTTTTAAAATTTTTTAACTTTTAAGATAATAATGAAATTATTTAATTTATTAAATAAGATCTAATTTCTTAAAAGCTTTTACAATATTAAAAAAAACATGTAATTTAATATTAACTTGGCTATAAAGATAAAAATAATATTAATTTTTTGAAATTTAATTGTAAATAAATTGATTTATTTTATATTTTTTTATTTTATGATCTATAAAATAAAAGAAGCATAATATTAAAATATGAAACTGTAAGAATATATATTTTTAATTTAGGATTATTTTTAAGTATTTAATTTTTTAATTATAGATATTTGAAAAGATATAAAATTTTTGTTTTGTAGTTTTCTGATTAGAAAATTTAAGATTAAATAAGAAAGATTTTTTTTTATAATAATTTTTTATTATAAATTTTTTAATAAGTTTTTATATAAAAATTTAAAATAAACAATATATATATTTTTTAACAAATATATTAACTATTATTTGTTTTATTAATTAAAAAATTGATATTATTAAAATATGTATATAAATTTTATTATTATAAAAAATTTATATTAGTAAAATTTATAATAAATATATTTTTTTTACTTTTAATTTTTAAAATTTTTTTAATATTTAAATACAATATATGAAATATTTTTTTAATAATAAAAATAATCAAAAATTAAAAAATTAAAAAATTTTATAAAGATTTTTTTATAAAGATTATTTTTATTTATATAAAATATATATAATATACAGTTAAATCTTTTTATACCAATATTTTTTAAAAAATTATTTTTAATTTAAATTATTTTTTGTTAAACAATTTTATATATTAATATTTATAATAAAACTTTATATATTAATATTTATAATAAAATTTTATATATTAATATTTTTTATTAAAAAAATCAATTATATTAATATAAAAGATTTGATTATAATTATTTTACTTATCAGTTATGAAATATTTTGATCTTATTGTCATTATATACAATATAAATTATATTATAAAAATGGTATTTGAGTTTTAATTAAGGAAAATGTTTTATGACTGTTATTATTTTTCTATTTAATTAATTTTAAATAGATATTTATAGTTGCTTAATATTATTTAATTATTTATATTATTTAACTACTTTTTTTTTAATATTGATTAAGTAATTACTATAAACAAGCTAATATTAACTTATTGTAATTATTATAAAGATATTATTATTTCTAAAATATATATCTTATAATAATGTTTATTTGTTTTTAATTTATAAATTTTATTTATAACAAATAAATAAAAATATTAATTCAATATACATGTATAATATTTTTTTTTAATTATAATAAAGTTGTTTGTTTAATATACAGCATATATGCTTTTAAAATTAGCAAAATCTTTATTGTTCAAAGCAAGCAAAGGACATTCTATGTTTACAATCCTTGGTGAAAATATAGGTCGCGTGTAAGTTATATCATCCACGTGTGTAACACATTATTATTTTTTTTTTGGTATATAATAAAGTCTAAATAATAAACTTTTAGCTTCGACTTACAATGGTTTATACAAATTATTATTTATTGGAGTTTTTATTATATACGTAATTATTATTAAACAACGCAAATTGCCATTTCCAAAAAAAAAAAAAAGATTGACTGTGTAATTATTTTTGGAAATGGTGTAATACATTGAATACATTGTTTACAAATTTACGAAATCTGTACAGTTACAGAATTCTATTATTGTACAGATCCGTTGCAGAATTCTGTTATTGCACAGATCCGTTGCAGAATTCTGTTATTGTACAGATCCGTTGCAGAATTCTGTTATTGTACAGATCCGTTGCAGAATTCTGTTATTGTACAGATCCGTTGCAGAGTTCTGTTATTGTACAGATCCGTAATTGTGGTGAATTTCTTCCACGATTGTATTGACGCATTCCACTTCATAGGATTGAATACGAGATGTAATTGACCATCGAATAGAAGTGGTTATATCGATGGCTCTTTCCGAGTAATGTTTATAGATTTCTCTTCAAAAAAAAAAACAAAAAAATATAAGGCGCATGAAACAAGGGGGAATGAAAACTCCATAATTTATAAAAATTGATTTACCCGTGAGCAATGTTGAATAAGGCAAGTAACATCACTAACGCAGTTCCAATCGCGTTTATGCCCATGAAGATTACCGAATTTTTCGTAGTCGCCGGTATTTTTCCTCGCCCGAACAATAGAAAAATACAAATAAATTCATACCAGCCCATGATCACTGTGATAACAGTATTTGTCAATTTTAGCTAAATTATGCATATTGAAATGTTATTTAGGTAAATGTGAAATTGACATGATAATTTAAGAAAAAATTGATATCTTTTACCTTTGTTATATACATCTTGTATCTTGCAAGTTTATCAATACCCCCTGAGGAAACAGCTTCTTTGACTCCATACAACTGCGCACTACCATCAATTAATTTTACTAATAATCGCCCATACTTTATGAAACAAGCAAGTATAATTGTTTCGTCAATTAAAAGCATAGCTAGAAAAACTGATTGGAACGCGGTAGTTCCATTTTCATCTTCAATCGTTTGGTAATAACCTTTTAATACCGCAGATACTAATGTGATAATAGTCATTATTACAACAAATGTCCAGTATAAAATTATTATTAAACGATCGCCCGGTATGAATTGCTTGTTACTGTTAAAAGTATTGATCTGGCGAAATGCTAATTTTGGTAGGGTTTTAAATCTGAGTGCAAAACTTAATGTTAGAACATGATAAGGCTATTTATGTATTGTGCATAGAATGAACTCACATTCCAACCAAATAAGTCCAAATAGCGATTATTTCGAATAGCCAGCCAAAATATGCTATTAAAGACTTGATGATATATCTTGAAGGAATCAGGTCATATGCCATAATTATCAAAGAGAGTGATCGAACTGTAAAATACCGATTTTAGCTTAATAAAATAATAAGAATAATAAGATAAATGACACGTACATAATCCATGTAAAGTCAATAAAACCAAAAATCCAATTATCGGCTCCACCATTCGAACACCCCACCAAGGTGTTTTCTGAAAGAAAATTTTATATACCAACAAAGAAAATGAAAGAAGAAATAACAAGGCATATAAGGTAGTCGCTGTATAAATAATGATCATAAAACTTGGGACATCTTCGCAAAACATGAATAACCCCGAGTCAGAATGACACGATAGTGATGTTTTGTTGCTATTCATGCTTATGCTAGATTATCATTTGTATGGATTCTTCGCTAACTGTCTTGAGAGGTTCATCAAAAATCACGCAACATTCTGTGATAAAGTTAATTTATAGCATTTTCATTGACAGAATATTGTTACACGGTAATAAATTTCTTGAATAATTCGTACAGTAACAGTCGAGGTTACATCTTCCCCTAGAGGTGTCGTCCCTCAGCAGACCCCGTGCTCGGACCAGATGAGCGCGAGCCGGCTTATGGGTGAATCATTTAAAGTGAATCAATGTATTTACTGTCCCTTAACTTTTTAAATATACAGTGATTTAGCAGAAGGTACGCATTCATCTTTGCCCAATTTCAAAAACAGACACAATCATTGGCCTTGGATTTGCAATCAAAGGGCGCATTGTTTTTAATATTGTAGTGTTAATTGTTATTTATCTTTGTTACCTTGATAAATTGATAACTCTTTCTTGGTAATTATTTGTTTGTTTTGTTTTTTTTCTTTTTAAAAAGAATCATGATCGTCGTTATCCATTGGCTCTACTTTTCCAAAGATCACCATTTTCCCCACAACCGCGACATATGATACACGTGTACCGTTTAATTATTAATGCTTTGTTTGAATTGAACCAATTGTCCCTTTTTTTTTATAGCTAAACAAATATTCAATCGTATGATAATAAATTATCAAATAAGAATTTGTTCAACTTACCGAATAGAGTTCCTTTGAGATCTATTCTTGCTCTGCTGCTTGCATATTTGTCAGCTTTATATCTGACATTTAACATTCACGCAGAAGTCTGAGATTCCATAAGTGTAACCTAAATAAAATGAATTCAAACAATTATATTCGATTCTTTCGTAATTGATTTTTTCCAAATAAATATTGACAAAAATATAGTCTAACTAAAATATGTATCTTTATCTAACGTACTATCAATAAGTACGCATATGGTAAATAGAGGAATTTGATTATTTTCGAAATTTAAAAATGTGTGCACATATTGTCCCCTAAATTTATATTATATATTTCTAGATATTTTAATGATACATACAATATATATAATACATTGCAATTTTTTTTGAAATTTATTTATTTATTCAATTGCTTAAAATAATGAGATTTTATTAATATATGGGTCCTGATCTATCAAAAAGGTGGTTATCATTTTGGTTACACAAAAAATTTTTTTTGCATAAGCATATTTTTAGCAGTTTTCTCTACAGAAAACATGATTACAAAAAAAATTTTTGTGTAACCAAAATGATAACCACCTTTTTGATAGATCAGGATCCATATAATTAATAATTACTTTTTTAATCATTATTTTCAATTATTAATTCATATTTTTTTTTAAATAAATTTATAAAATTAATTATAATTCTAATAGAATTTTTTTTATTCTTTATCATGAATTGTTTTAATATCAAAAAATTTTGAGATCATCTTATTTTCATATTTTTTTTAAATAATAAATCAAATAGGATTTAAATATAAATTATTAAAAAATCAATTTATAATTTCAAAAAAAAACTTTTATTTAAAAGTTGTTAGTAATTTTATCAACATGCTTAAAATTATTATCTTGTTAAAAACATTAATTGTTTTCAAGTAATTCTTTAATTTCTTGTTTATATTTTTTGAAACAAAAAAAAATTTTTTCTTTTAAACAAATTCTTCTTATATAAAAATTTTTATAAGAATTTTAAAAAATTTTTTAATTAATTTCATATTTTTATATTAATTAAATAATTGTATTTTGAACAATTAAAATATTTAAAAAATAAAAAATAAAATATTTTATTTTGTCAAATATCTTAAATAGTTAAATATTACTAAAGTTCTTATAAAAAAATTTAAATTATAATATACAATAAATATTAATTAATTATTTTGATATACAGTATATAGTAAATTAATTTTTTAAAATTGTAATAAATAATTGATATATTTATATTAATTTTAAAATATGCTTTATTTACAAAATTAAATTTATTATTTTATAAATACAACTATCTATCATATTATTGTGAACACTTTTTTACACTTAATTATTTAAAATTGTAATAACTAATTTTTTATAAATTTTTTATCACATGTTTAGTAACTATCAAGGTATTACATACTAAATTTTTATACATTTTCGTTTTATTTTGCAGGAGTTATGTAGGAAAGACTATAGACATGGATTTTTTTATTAAACTGAAATTACAATTGATTTTTTTAAGTTTTTTTAATTTTTTTTTTAATTTTTTTTACTAAAAATTCTATTTTAATATTTTGTAGATCCTCCTGTAGCTTCTAGGCAAGCAACAACACGATTCAGCATACTTACAATTAGCTGACAGCAAAACTCAAATGGTATGTCATTCCATGCCTCTTGCACAATGATATCAAGTTCCTGGAAATTATTCAGTTTCGGCTTACGATGCATGACTCTTTTCACTTCGAACCAAAGATTTTCGATTGAATTCAGATCTGGACTTTGGGGAGACCAATTCATTATCTGAACCCTATTTTCGTTGATAAATTTCCTTACAATTTTCGTTATGTAAGATAGGAGTAAGAAAACTTGAATGTCCAGGACATTTTTTTTTTTTCTTATGCAAATTCATCTGACTTATGAAACTCGTTTATTATATTCCAGGTGGCAGTCTTTCCACAGCCTACAAGGATTGCAATCTGGCATACTGAATCTCTTCTTAGGTATCTATTAATGACAGAACTTCTTTGTCCCTCTGTCAAATCCTTTTTGCTACTCATTTTAAAGGAAAAAAAACTGGTTGTTTTTTTTACAGTGATCTGTGATACACAAACCTTGTTTAAAATTTTGTGTAACATCGCTCACGTGTTGCGCAACATTTGACAAAAATTTCAAGCAAAAATTTTAAGCGAAAAAAAAAACTGGATTTTTGCTTTCAGTCTTATACAAAAAAGATAATGCTGAGTCATCACCATATAACTTCTATATGACTGGATGGAATTGCTCAAAATTTTAGTATATTATATATCAAGTTTCAATAAATATATGTTAAAAAATTTATAA